TGGGGACAGTCAGAGAGGTTCGGCGAGTTTTTATTATAGGCATTAGGAGCAGGACAAAGATAAAGGTCCTCAGCTCCAGGATTCTCCCTATTGTCCCCTGGCAAACAGAAAACAAAAGAATTCTTCCCTATCTCAGTTACAATGGGGATTTATATAGACAAACTCTCCCTGTGTTACTCTCCTCCCAAAGGGGGTGGTGGTCATAAGTATTGGCAGCCAATCGGCAGAGAGCAGATTTGCATGGAGGGGCCGTTCTCCAGCCCTGGGGGGTTAAGAGAGAATCGGAGGGTCCCAGCCACAGACCCATTTGCCTCAGGAAGCCGAGCTTGTCTGGATTCCCACCATGGCCTGGGCCCCTCTGCTCCTCACGCTGCTCACTTACTGCTCAGGTGCGACAAGGGGAGGGGTTCTTTCATTTTCTTCATCCAAAAATATTTTCCCTTCTCCAGCTCCCTGTGCTGGCTTCCTGCAGAGTCAGGGTGACCAGACAGCAAGTGTGAAAAATTGGGACATGGGGTGGAGGGTAATAGGAGACTATATAAGGAAAAGACCCAAAAATAGGGACTGTCTCTATAAAATTGGGAGATCTGGTCACCCTAGCAGAGTGAGTTCTTGCTCAATACAGTAATGAAACAGTGAATTTATCCATGTTTTCTCTTTCTGTTTCAGGTTCTCTGGCCCAGTACCTGCTGACTCAGCCGCCATCAGTGTCTGCGTCTCCAGGGAAAAATGCTCAACTCACCTGCTCAGGGAATAACATTGGAAGCTACCATGTGCAGTGGTACCAACAGAAACCTGGCACCGCCCCCCTAATGCTTATCTATCACAGTAGCAACAGACGCTCCGGAATCCCTGCTCGATTCTCTGGGGCCAGCTCCGGTAACACGGCCACGTTAACCATCACTGGAGTCCGGGCGGAGGACGAGGCTGATTATTATTGTCAGGCGTGGGACAGCGGCAGTGATCAGTAGCACAGTGACACAGTGAGACGGGGAAGTGAGACACAAACCTGCCACAGGGGAACATTAGACTTCTTCCATTGCTCCCTCTTACCATTGTGGGGCTCATTCAGAGCAGTGCGGTGGAGGTTTCATTTTTAAACAGGCCAGGATCTTCCCAGCCAACTTTGGCTCAACACATGACACCTCCCTGTCCCCATGGACATCCCCTCCCTGATCACAGTGCAGGAGCCACATTCGCAGCTGGTGGAAATCAGCCTCCTCTGTTGTCTTCAGTGCCACTGCACTGAGCTACACCCACTGAGGGTCTGGCTCCGGGAGTTCATTGCATCCCCCTGGGACGAGGGAGGATTCAGAGGCCAACAGTCTCCCCAGAAAGGGATCAGCAAAGCCCTTCGTGGCTGCTGGTTCTGTGGTATTGCTCCGATCTCTCCCCTGTTGTGAATGACGGAGCCTCTCACCTGGCAGCACAGACTGGATGATGAGCCCCCACCTCAATGTGACCAGGGTCCCAGCGGGGACCAGCTGTGATCACTCAATTAGGGTGAACTGCAAAGAATGGGGCAGGCAATCCCCCAAAAGCTGGTGGATATTCCAATACTTAGATTTACCAAGCGAGCATAAAACTGCTTCTTTATTACCTTCCTGGTTACTCAAAAGTCCAAACGGCACAGTTCCCTTGAAGTGATCCAGCCTCAGGCCTCCATCCAGGTACCTAAGTCAAATATGATGAAGATTTCTAAAAATCTGATATCATCACATAAAAGAAAAGGTTCTACCAATCCCAAAGGGTCAGACACATTACCTCCCAGGAAAATGAATGTTTCAGATCTTATCCAAATACACACCACAGCCAATTCTTATTCACTAAACTACAATTTATTAAAAAACAAAAGAGAGAGAGAATCGTTAAAAGATCAATATCCATAGAGACGTGAGTTCAGTTGTTAAGGATCAGACTCATAGCAGCGATGGTGAACTTCGTAGTTGCAAAGAGTTCTTTCAGAAATAGTCCATAGGTTATAGTCCCATGTTTATATTTCAGGGCGATCCAGTTAGAACCGGGATCTCAGTCCTTGTGGCTTAGGCTTCCCCTGCATGAAACCTCAAGCAGATCTGAGATGAACAGGATCAGGACTCAGGGGTCTTTTCATACAATGTTCTAGCATCCACTTGACCACACAGTCCTGGTTAAACAATAGGCTTTTGGTGTAACTTTTTGCTTTCTAAACACCATCAGTAATTAGTTACACAAATTAACATAGGGCAATGTATCCATTAGGCAGTCTATTACAAACTTCAACGAGACATAGAGACAATGACATTATTTTACCCAAGATTCATCTAAATGCTATTATTCCCTTTTGATCTCTGAATTAATAGTTATAGTGACAGGCAGGAACTGTCTGTTTACATGCAAGCATCAAAGATACACACAAGTAGTAGCACTGCTAACAATATAGGTTTGCATTTCAAAGTTCTAGCCTACCTGGCCATAGAATGGCCCCTAATTACCATTTCTAACATGTCTTTAAAGGTCGGCTTTGGGTCATCCAGCCTGCATGCCGTTTAACCCTTTCTGGCCATGAGTTATATTTTGTGTAAGATTTGCTGCAATTATGTAGCAGTGGTAGCAACTATGGTTTGCAAAATCATATTTTAATCAGACAACATCACACTCAGCCAGGGCCGGCTCTAGGATTTTTGCCGCCCCAAGCGAAAATAATTTTGGCCGCCTCCTCCCCCCCCCGTTTTTTTCTTACCCCACCCCCGGCCCTGCCTCAACTCCGCCCCTTCCCCAAATCCCCAGCCCTGCCTCCTCCCGCCAGGCTCTGAAGCCTAGGAGGGAGGGAGGGAGGGAGAGGGAGAAGCAGCGCGTGCGCCTTGGCCACTCAGGGTCTCCCCCTCCCTCCCAGGCTCTCAAACCCGGGAGGGAGGGAGAGATCCCAAGTGGTCGCGGCGCGCGAAACAGCTGATTCGCGCGCCACTGCTCACCCTCCCTCCCAGGCTCTCAAACCCGGGAGGGAGGGAGAGATCCCAAGTGGTCGCGGCGCGCGAAACAGCTGATTCGCGCGCCACTGCTCACCCTCCCTCCCAGGCTCTCAAACCCGGGAGGGAGGGCGAGCAGTGGTGCGCGAGCGGCAGCAGCGGAGGTGAGTTAGGGCGGCTGGGGCACATTTTTAGGGGAGGCATGGCCCGCGCCAGAATGCAGCCCCTAAATATGTGCCGCCCCAAGCACCAGCTTGTTTTGTTGGTGCCTAGAGCTGGCCCTGCACTCAGCTTCCTACATTTGATAACCTCCCTCTCCCTTGCAGGCTCATTCTCATCTCAGTGCCCAGAGTCCTTCTGTGTACCCCTCCTTTTTTTTTTACCTCAGGAATGTCTGTGTCTTCCAAGCCCTAGCTTGGCATAACCCTCTGTTCCATAAGAACAAGATGAATCTCCTCAGTCTCCTTCTGTGCAGTAGCCGGGTAGGTCTGGTCACCTGAAGCATCCCCCAGGCGCTCTCTCATGCATGTTGCTCAGCTGCCTGGTCACTGCCCCCGTAAACATGTGACATAGGCACGGAAACTAGGGGTGTGGGGGGGCTGCAGCACCCCCAGGCTTTACGCGGGGCTCCACTCCCGTGCCCAGGGCTCCACTGCCAGCCCCAAACCCGGGGTCCCAGCTGCCGGCCCGCGCCTGCCCCAAGCTGTGGTCCCAGCTTCAGCCCCCTTACCCCTGTCTGGGTTCCCCGCTCCCAGAGATACAGCCCTGCTCCTGGCCCCAGCTCTGGGGGG